CGTGTACTTGATTCAGAGATACCAGATATTGTTTGTAATTGCGTGGGTTACATACAACCTGCAAAGACCTAGGCGAGCCTTTGATCGCAGGTTCAAGGAAAACGATGCACAAAAGGGAATACTTCACAGAATACAATCTGGATTCAAGGTGATCGATGTACGTTGCAGCTGTTCTTTTGTAGGATATCTTTCGTAGGGTATTTTGTACGGTGTTTGTACGTGAAGAGTGTTTGCAGAGGAACCCCGGTTGTCCTTTGGAGTAACAGTAATTGGCGGAAGATGCGCTGCCCTGTGGCAAACTTATGGATAAAGTCTCTGATCATAGTGGCAACTGAACCAAGCGTATACGAGGTAAGGAAAACCATACCCGAGAAGGTCAAACGCAAACACGAATCAGACAGGCACGCAGTTATACCCCCAGTGTAGAATGGTGAGATGTCAGCCTGATGTTTAAAAAAAAAATTTTCCCTCACGATCCTCCTCATACTGTTTAGCTCTGATCGATCGGGATGTTTGAGGCGATGGTCGCTCTGAGAAGATGGATGACAGCGGCGAAACACGCAGATTTGGCGGTCCGATCTAGACCGAAGCGGAAAAAGATATGGGAGGTGTGGCGTAGGATGGGGGAAGTGTTTGAACTGTGGCGGACTCGGGAAGCAGTGAGGGGCAGACGTGGGTGTGGGCGTGGGCGCCGATCAAAATGGTGGGATGATTGAGAGGAACGGGATTATGGCTGTCGAGGTTTTGTCCGAAACATGGAGTGGAAAATAACGCTTCTCGATCGATCGATACTACCTTGACACCAAGCCGGTTGCCCAACAAAATATGGGGGTGGATTGATGGATGGTGGTGAGGGCGGGAGGATATATTTTGGGCAAAGAAGCGCAGGCACCGCAGGGAGGAGATGGATAGACAATTAATTAATTGACGGTACAGAAACCTCCACGTTGTCGTTGTCGTCGACCAGTTTCCCCCAATCAAGCAATTAATCAATCACGAGAGGTGAGTTGCAAGTTACAACCCTGACCGCCAGATGGGAAAAAGATGTGCTACACCCGCGCAGTCCTCAGGATGGAGCCCAATTGTTCCCACTTTTACCCATTGGGTTCCTCTTTGGTCTCTCTGGCTCCCTTTTGGCTCCCTTTGGCTCCCTCTGATTCCCTCTGGGTGCTTCCCTCCGGCTCGTTATCATTTGCTGCAGCTGTCGGTCAGGGACCAAACACTATGCACAACTACATCACCCCTTGTCATGGTTGTTTTCTGCCATGCTCACCCATCCACAGCCCATCCTCCCTCCATCCATCCATCCACACCAGATCCTCGCCCACAGCACATGCCGGTGATGAAATCGTTGGCTCTGAGGCGGTAGTCTTCTGGTACCATTGGACCAGTCGACGCCAGAAGCTCTCGCTAAAGCTTGCTGTTTTCAATTTTCTTCGATTGTCTCATCCCACCTTGAGGTTTTGCATCACCGCTCCTACTTTTCTACAACTCACCTCTTTCACTTTCTCTTCACTTCACCCTCACATTCCACCCTACACCACAATCTCTGCAACACCCATCTGGACGAGTCTCGAGCCTCCGGCGAGTTGCTAATTCGTCTCCAGAACCCCTAATATCTCGGCCTTCCCAGACTGATCTGAGACTGTCTCCAGATCAAATCTCGCTCCTCCACTCCGTTTCATCTCCTTGGTGCACAGCGCAGCCATGGCCTCGAAAGCGATTCCATCTCATCTCCGTCCTCACGGTGCAGCCAACGGTTCCAACGGTCCTGCACCAGCTGAGAAGAGACATCACGGCAAGACACAGTCTCATGTGGTAAGGGAAAATAAATACATTCCTTGATTCCTTGCTACTCCTCGTACCACATCACTCCCTGCCATCCACTATCCGAGATGCAAAATAGCATGACACGACGGCAAACTCCCTCCTTCCCATGACGCACGGACCCGTTTTCCGCATACCCCGGAGTCCGTTCTGGATGCCTGCCACCTCGTCTGGAAATCAATACTACGAGGTCATGGTGTTGGCGATCGGTCCATGTTGAAATGAGGTGTCAAACACTGTTTTGTATTCGTCATCTCATGCTTCTCGCAACATCCCTCGAATCTCCTGCTGGTGTTAATTGAAAAAGTTGCCTTGATCGGCTTCTTTGCTCTTGCTCTTTTTCCCTTTTTTCAATTTCTACACCTTCCCTTGTTCAAAATGCCGCTACTGGAACCTCCTCCGCCAATCGAGTTGCGCACTTCTTCTCTTTCTTCCAACTCTATCCACCATCTACCAGACCCTCTGCTAATCAAGTCTCCCGCAATGCAGGCCTTTGAGAACACCTCCACCAATGTGGCTGCCAGCCAGATGCGCAATGCCCTCAACAGCCTCGCAGACACGGTCAAAGACCCAGCGGAAAAGAAGAGGTTCGAGGCGGAAATGGACAACTTTTTCTCCCTGTTCAGAAGATATCTCAATGACCGGGCCAAGGGCAACACCATCGACTGGGCTAAGATAAACCCTCCAAATCCAGACCAGGTAGTCGCCTATGACGACTTGCCCAACAGCGACGCAGTCGAGTTCTTGAACAAGCTCGCAGTGGTCAAGCTCAACGGTGGTCTAGGTACTTCGATGGGTTGCGTTGGTCCCAAATCTGTCATCGAGGTCAGAGATGGAATGTCGTTCCTTGATCTTTCCGTCCGCCAGATCGAGTACCTAAACCGCACCTACGACGTCAACGTTCCGTTTGTTTTGATGAACAGCTTCAACACCGATGAAGATACCGCTTCCATCATCAAAAAATACGAGGGCCACAATATTGATATCCTGACCTTCAATCAATCCCGTTATCCTCGTGTCCTCAAGGACTCCCTGCTTCCTGCGCCCCGATCGTACGATTCGCAGCTTTCCGACTGGTATCCTCCCGGACACGGCGACGTTTTCGAATCTCTCTACAACAGTGGCATCCTTGATCAGCTCTTGGATCGTGGCATTGAAATCATTTTCCTGTCCAACGCAGACAACCTTGGTGCCGTGGTGGATCTACGCATCTTGCAGCACATGGTTGAGACCAAAGCCGAGTACATCATGGAATTGACCGACAAGACCAAGGCTGACGTCAAGGGTGGTACCATTATCGACTACGAAGGCCGCGCACGACTACTGGAAATTGCCCAAGTTCCCAAGCAATACGTCAATGAGTTCAAGTCGATTAAGAAGTTCAAGTACTTCAACACCAACAACATCTGGATGAATCTGCGAGCTATCAAGCGGGTGGTCGAGAACAACGAGTTGGAGATGGAGATTATTCCCAATGAAAAGTCGATCCCGGCAGACAAGAAAGGCGAGGCGGACATTTCTATTATCCAGCTCGAGACTGCTGTGGGTGCTGCCATCAAGCACTTCAAAAACTCCCACGGTGTCAATGTTCCCCGTCGACGATTCTTGCCTGTCAAGACTTGCTCAGATCTCATGCTGGTCAAGTCGAACTTGTACACCTTGTCACATGGTCAATTGATCATGGACCCCAATCGATTCGGCCCTGCACCGCTCATCAAGTTGGGCAGCGACTTCAAGAAGGTCGCGCAGTTCCAAAAGAGAATCAGCAGCATCCCCAACATTGTCGAGTTGGATCATCTGACTGTCACCGGTGACGTGAACTTTGGCCGTGGAATTGTCCTGAAGGGTGAGTGTCTACCACGTTTGAGGTCTTGCAGACATGCTAACTCGTTGTGACCACAGGTACCGTCATCATCGTGGCTACTGAGAACAGCACCATCGACATTCCCCCTGGATCAATCCTGGAGAATGTCGTGGTTCAGGGATCTTTGAGACTGCTTGAGCACTAGTTTGAACGCGTGTGGGCGTGCGTTATCTACTGTGCAGATGTGGCAATGGCTTAGTACCAACCTTTGATAGTGTGTACAGTGCCATACAAATTGTGGGATTGGATGGTGCGGGGAGAAGTTGTGATTCAAATGCTTAGACAAGAGATGATGTCATCCTCTTATTTCCCAAGATGGGAAGACGGAAAATGTGTGGAAAGCAGAAAGGGCATGGATTTGTCGGACGGCTTTTCTAGCTCTCATACTAATTAAAGGGTGTCATATGGCATTGTCAATGGAGCGAGACTGTCTGTTGTGTAACCCCGGGTTCTAATCGATATTGTCGACGATGCATCACAAAAGCTTCAACCTTGCCCACCTCCCGAGTAAACAGTGTGACGTCAATAGCGTTAGCTCTTGGCATGTTACATAAGTCCCACCGGCGAGTCGGATAAACTTTACCGAAACTATTTATTCCGGTGGTTAGTCATTTCTCCGGCGGGACGGGGCCACCAGGGCGGCACTTTGATATTCCTGGGCCGAAGGCTGAGGCTCAACCTTGCAGGTGCGATTCATGGATATCTACTGGATTATCTACCGGGGACGTTCGCAGTCGATCTCTGCACAGGCTCGTTCTTATTTTTTCTTCCTTCTTGATCCCGTTTCCGATGCTGTTGTCGAGTTATTCTATCCTATCTTCCTAGAAGAGGCAGGCTGAGCGGCTAGCCATCGCTGATATTGAGAGTTAAGGAGCGGAGGAAGCGGAGAAGGAGGAGAAGAAGAAGAAGAAGAAGAAGAAGAAGAAGAAGAAGAAGAAGAAGAAGAAGAAGAAGAAGAAGAAGAAGAAGAAGAAGAAGAAGAAGAAGAAGAAGAAGAAGAAGAAGAAGAAGAAGAAGGGGGAGCAGCAAAGACGACGAAGACGAGAACCAAAAGAAGAAAATTCCATAGGCACGAAGGGCGGACATAGGAGAGTGAGGTCGTGCGAATCGTCCCACTCGACGCACTGGTCGTATACAGTCTCGGAAAGAAGGAGGAGGAGGAGGATCAGTTGGCAAGCCAAAAAGCCGCCACAAAACTTTTTCGCCAAATAAACCCGCCGGAATCAGATCAGATCAGAAAAAGAGGACATTTAACAGTCCAAGTAACAGCAAAAACGAAAAAGAAAAAGGAAAGCCCGGAAAGGGAATAATGACCTCCACCACATCCAACACAACCGGCACAGCAAGTAAGACCACGACGTCCGGAACATTCACGCTCCTCCTCTTCGCGTCCGCGAGCACCTTTGCCGGCGGGGTCGAGACGCTCCGGCTCCCCGCGCCGACGACGCTGCGCGGGGTCTTTGAGGCTCTCGAGGCGCGGTTCCCGGGCATGCGCGACGCGGTGCTCCGCAGCGCGGCCGTGACGGTGAATCTCGAGTACGTCGACGTTGATCCCGACATCGACGCTTCTGCCGGGCAAAAGCGAGATGGGGACGTTGGGGGCGATGCGACGGACAAGGGTGACGGGCTGGAAATGGTGATCAACGCGGGCGACGAGGTCGGAATCATCCCGCCGGTGAGTAGTGGGTAGGTACTACCTACCTACAGTCCTACCTACAGGATGTATGGTACGCGGGATTATAGATAACCTGGTCACCCTGGTGAAAAAGGGAAAGGGTCGGATGTCACAGGTAGTATGGGTCAGGAGGAGTATTGGAGGGAGGAATACATTCGACGTCTCCGGAGGCTGTGAGATGAAATGGGAAGATACTCATTGATGCGTTATCGTGTACCAACTCACACTGTCCCAAGCACATATTATCTCGTACGTATCTTGCGCTTCGGTCACGGCTCACACGTTACTTAGTCGATGATAGTAATGGTATCTCCAGTTTCGCCGTCAGCATCAAAGCCTCCTCCCTGAGAGGCGGGGTGCCCCACTTCGAATTCTTCTTCTTCTTCTTCTTCTTCGCTTAAGTAGTTTAACTTGATAACTGGTTTAAATCTTCGACGACGCCCAATCTCTGATTCAAGACAGTTCCAGCACACGACGTTGTTGTTGTTTAGTATGTATACTCTGGACCCCCCAACAGTCTGCTTCGCGATGCAGGCCGCAGCCAACCTAGCCGACCAATTCTCGTGTGCTCGGAATATGCCAACACCATCTGGAGGATCCAAGAGCTCCTCAAAATTGTCGATACTAATGCATTCGGTCTTGGAGTTCACCCGTCTGGACCCACATAAGCACTCGCCACTTACACGGCTATCTTCGATTTCTTCGAGAGCTGCGAGGACATCGATGTCTCCGTACCAGCGACCTTTGTCGTGTACTGACACAACCGCCTCGACCTGGAAGATATCCTGGTCGATGTTGCCGACCTTGCTGGAGGAGAGAACCACGGGTACTCTCCATTCAGTCAGCGAGAGGTGTAAAGAGGTGGCGCCAAAGTTATCTTCCCGTCTGTAATCGTACGGGGCATGTTCCACGGCTCGAAAGTCTCTTGTCTTCTCTTTCACCATCACTGTTTCTGGGCTGACGAGAATAGACACTCCAGGGCGGCCGAGGTTGCCGGCTATCCTCCGAATAGCACAGCCAGATTGCGTTTGTGATGGGTCCGAGAGGAGCGATTCTGCAACGAAGATGGAGTTGCCGGCCGCTACCGCGAAGGCGCGATTAAACAGGGACGTGTCAATTGGATCGCCTCCCATTTCCATCATACAAACGCATGCAAGCGCATCTCGCCTCGAGATCGAATATGATGTGACATCTGTAACATCATACTCTAGGATACAGAAACGACTTTCCGCGATTTTGATGGGGAACGTCGCACAGGGGAATCGTGCATAGATTCTGAACAACGACGCCAAGCAGAAGAGGGAAATGTGGGTGGTCATTGCGAGTGGTTGTCGTTGCAGGGGCGGGAGGCAATCTTTGATTCTTTCCAGCCAGTTGGGGACTGAGAAATTAGTTCTAGAACGGAGATCCAGCCTTTATGGGGGTTGAACACTCACTGGAACGGGGCAGACTAGTTAAATGTCGGACGAGTTTGCCTTCGGAAAACTGCTCGAGTTGTGCGCGGTGCAGCGCCTCTTCAGACTTCAGAGCTGCCTCGTTTGCAATTCGGACGGAAGACAATGTCTCCAAATGGCGCTCATAAAGCGAAGCACTCTCATAGATGGTAAAGAGACCGATTTCTTGCTGCCTGACACTGGCGCTCCACACTGGGCAGAACAACCAAAGGCCCACCTCAGTTTTCTGCGAATACCCTAAAAGCCGGGGCTCCCGACGTTTCAGGGCCTGTACCAAGTAAGTATCTCTCTGGACTTTGTCTTCGTCCGGGACCTTGCTATACAACCGGCGTGATTTTAGGAAGTCTTCCCTCTTCAGAGACTTGGCTCCTTGAAACCCGGCATCGGATCTGGAAAGGGAAAGACTTCGCAGATAGAATGAGGATGGCAAAACACTCCATGTAATCAAGTCCTCTTCGCTGAGAGGCAGGTATTCGTCTGGGTCAATAACTCCAATAATCTCGATAAACGATGCTTGCCGGTGGTTCAATTCTTGCTGGAATCCTTCCACGACGTTGGGATTGGAAGTCACAACCCACCGTACGTGAACATCCTGTGGCCGCTGGCCATCAGCTACAGAATCTTGCTGAAGCGACAAATTTATAGGAGTGGCGGTAGCTAGAACAAGTACCTCGGTGTCTGCGATCTTCTCGAAATATTGAATGACGGAAAATGTCAAAATGTTGGTGCTTTCTGCTACCGATCGGACATGACGAAGGTATTCTTCCGAAGAAGAAGAAGGCATTGCCAGACCATTTGCGACGTGTGGGTCGCATAGCCCGAGAAATGGACTGATTTCCCGCTCCCAAGAATATCCAAGGAGGTTTTTCCCGCGTCTGCGACCATAACGAACTAGCTTCTCAAAGTCAGCAGATTCATCCTCGGATTTCTCTACCAGGAGCCTTGATGCCTTCATCAGGGGCTGTAGCCAGTGAAGATGCTGGTATTTCTCCTCCTCGGCCAGATCTTCGCCTTGATGTCGCTTTATCAGACTGTCGAGGGAACAGAACCATGAGGCGACATCAACCATCATATCGCAAGGCAGATTCCAGTGGAAAAGTAAGGATCCGAACGCGATAAGGCACAGCTCGTCCATCGTGATCCGATAGTTGTCATGATCCGTCTGAAGGCTGACAGGTTCTCCATAGTATCTGAGATGAGAAAGTGCCAGTGACCATTGAAACCCTGGAGAAACGGCGTCATCGTCTTTGAGCGATAAGCCCACGGTAATTGCGACAGAGGCTGGGAATAATGAATCCTGAAAGACCACTTTTTTCGTCTCGGACGAGAGGACGATGAGATCAGGATACAAGTGCCATGCCGACAATGCCAGCAAGACAGAGCTGTCGGTCGCATTCTGTGGGTTCCCGTTCAGAAGAGCTTCGAAGCCATTAATGCCCCTTCCCAGGCATTGATGATTTTGGCATACGTATCTTTGCCAGCGCTTACGGGCAGAGTGGTCAGATTGTCCAAGATCAGCCTGAGTTGCTTCAATTTCTTGATCATCACTTGGTCAGCTGTGATCAACCAAGCACGGACACTTGCATCAAAAGTGGCCAGATCCTCGCGCAAGATCTTTTGGTGAGCTGCAATGACTGCTTCGTTCATGACGAACCCTGTTGATTCGGCTGTGGCGAGCACTTCCTTTTGGCGGATTGCTACGATTTCTACCCAGAGTGCGACACTCAATTTTGGATCGTCAAATTTTCTTGCCAATAGGCATGCTAACAGCAACACCGCGAGGGATGCAGAGCCAGATGTAGCAGCTGCCCAGATGGAAGTGGCATCCGCCCCGACCGAGTCTTTGAACGGTCCATCTTGAGGCGTACCCGCGGGATTAGCACCGGGGGTCTTGATGATCTCGGAGACTCTTTGGCCGAAGGCACAGAGAAGCTTTGGGGCCTTCGGAGCAACGTGGGAGAATAATGCTCCTAGTAAACGAGCGGTCTGGTGATGAGAACCCAGCTCAGCCGTCCGTCGTCGCTGCAGCGATAAGGCAGAGCCAAGAGGTTGAAATTCGATGGGCGCCTCAAGCTTGACGAGGGAAAACCCCAAGTTCAGGTTGGCAAGGGAAATGGAGGTTTCATTGGTCCCAGACAGCATAGCATTTGTCACTTTCCCAAATATCTGAGACATTTCGACTGGTTACAGAGAAGCAGCCCGGCACGTCGACGCAGATTGTAGAGAAGACAGACTTCTTGATATTTCTAACGGATGAGAAGATGGAGTTTGAGGCTGAGCTGGAGCTGATCAGGCAGCAAGCAGCTAATGCGAACCAGGTGCGCTGCACGCGCCTCATTGTCTGTGAGGACGAATCAGGGGTGCAGAAGGGTTCGCGATGGTGCTGCGGCCGACCAAGGGGCAACATCCACAGCCTGACTGCTCGACGGAAATCCATGGCAGACTGGGTTGTGGCGTGATTGATGGAGTTGCGAGATAAGGGCCGGAGTGCAACAAGCAAGTCGTGAGAAGAAGAGTGAACAGAGCATTAAATGACCGGTAGGTACCTCGTATACCGTGGGCGCACCCAACGCAGCCACACGTGACTGCGCCCTCGATTCCAACCCTGCTGGGGAGGCAGAAGCGAACGGAAGAAATGAAACAGGCAATGGGGTTGAAGGAACAAAACACACAGCCATTCATATGTGACAAAGCGCTGATGTTGACACCGGATCATGGAATGAGCAGAAAGTCAACGACGCCAACGAACCCTCGGTGCGATTGAGCCCTTCCTAAACTGCGCCTCAGTGCAGAGTTTGAGTAGGGACGATGGACACGACGCAGGTACGCGAGACCAGGCCGGGGGCGCGAGGGCCGCTAGGGCATTATTACCATCGACATCCTTGCTTGGATTATGGCATCCATCGAGTCGGACCTACAGCGCTTCCCCGCGTTGACGGCATCAAGCATCAAGCCGATTCACAATCATGCCCGTCAGTCTGCCAAGCTGATGGTTCATGATGACCACCACAATCTATGCACACCCATTCCTCGCTGGCATATATAGCCCCTCCAAATTCTCGTCTGTGGGATTGCCTCAGATTCCTGACTGCGCGCGTTTAGAGTGACTAACAGCGTGACATGAATATGGCAAACACACTTTCCAGGGAAGTAAAGTCGCTGTTCAAATCCTTCGGCTCTTCTTCTCCTCACCCTGACGGCCTCTATCGCCCTGATGCCGTCGTGAGACATGCCGACACTGAAGGCAACATTTCAACGACCTTCTCCGCTGCTCAATCACCAGCGTCATCGCCAACTTCCCTGGAGCAACCCATCCTGATAGAACTCTTCCAATCACAAGGCTGCAACTCCTGCCCTCCCACGAACGACAATCTCATTGCCTTCGTTCAGCCACACCAGTCCTCGTACCAACATAACTCGACAGCTCGCTTTTACACCAGCCGATCCCCGTCCTCTTCCCCGACCACCCTCCCAAATTCGCCTCATGGGCCAGAGTACCTGTTGCTCACGTACCAAGTGACATATTGGAACTATTTGGGCTGGGAAGACACATTCAGCTTACCCAACAACGACGTCCGTCAGCGAGATTATGTCAGGAGGATGGGTCTGCGTGCGGCTTACACGCCGATGGTCGTGGTGAATGGACGGGGCGTCGGTGTGGGCAACACCACGGAAGATCTGGAGCGGATCGTACGGGCAGGACGAAAACCTGCCCACGAGACAGAAAGAGTTGGTATTAAGAGATTGTTAGAAGTGGGAGAAGACGGGCGGCTGGGGATCCTCGAGATCGATGCGACTGCTCTTCCACCGTCATACTCGCAATCTCCAGGCCACCACCTCGAGGGGTGGGAAATAACATACACATCCAGCTCACAACACGTACACATCTCGCGTGGCGAAAATGCTGGCCGGACGCTCCCACATCTCAATGTGGTCAGCGAGGTTCAAAAAATTGGGTCTTTGGAGCGTGGTACCAAGGAGCGTTTCCCATTCTCAGGGCAGAGCGAGAGGTGTGCGAGTGCTGGGAAGGAAAAGGTGGTAATTGTGCAGGACGGGAAGGGTGGTGAGACTTGCGGTATCCTGAAGCTGTAAATACTTTGAACTTTTGACACGACTTCTGTAACAGGGTCTGGATCAGACTTGCTGAGGTGTTCAGTCTATGCAGTATAGATTAATCCTGCATTTATTTCGACTTCAAAGCCCTATCACCGCTGTGTTTCTTACCGTGCACCCGTGTCGGTGAGGTAGTCATGTCAAGCACCAGTCTTGTACAAGGGATCCCTGCTGGCTCTCCGACTCATTTCCAGCAGATGACTTCTCCCTGAAGCGCGGCGTACCACGCCTCGGGACTGTCACCCCAAGCCCTTAAGCCGTTAACCATGGCGTCGATCTCAGCCTGGCTACGGACGAGTTGGAGCTCTCCCAGCCACTTTCGACCGATCTCACCTTTGAGCCGCTCGACTTGGATGTTGGCCCACCATTTGGATTCGTCGGGTGCGGGATGGCAGGTTGCGCCCGCGCGGACCTGCATCTTGGACCTCTCGAACCCGGCCTCTTGGGCCCACAGGTGAATTCGGCGGCCGGAGCCAATGCCTTGGGCCCCAGGGGACACTGCCTTGGCCATGGCTGTCAGAAAGGCTTCTGTCCCCGGGTTGCTAGGATGGTAGATCAGTGTGTCGGTCTCGCGCATGGCGAGCATGCCGCCTGGCTTGAGGATACGAAGCGCTTCCCGTATGACGCGGACGGGCGTGGGGATGTGGTAAAGCACCTGGCTGGTATAAACGACGTCGACCGAGTTGTCGTCCCAGGGTAAGCGGGCGGTGATATCGCCCACACGGAACGTCAGGTTAGGATGTTCGTTCCCTGGGGCCCCCGAGCGGGCTAATGTGATGACCGACTCCGCAGCGTCGATCCCAATCACCGACCCTTGAGGAACATGGGGGCAGAATCCTCTGGTGATGGTGCCGGGGCCACAGCCCAGGTCCACAATCGTGAAATGTGGCTGCAGATGAGGAAGCAAGAACGCTGCAGAGTTTTCAACCGTGCGAGACGCGTGTGATGCCACAACGGCCGCGCTGTGGCCTTGGGTGTAGGTCGACGTTGAAGATTGGGGCTGTGGGTTCATCGTCGGGAGTTCGGCCCGGTGTCAATATTTCGATTACAGGGAGGTTAAGCAGAGGATTGTGGGCCGGAAGAGGCAGCTATCGACTTTGCGGGCAAAGCTGAATGTCGCGCTCTAATTTGTGAGACCTGTGAAGTGCAAGGAATGATGGTCAGCGAAGCCGAGTACATCAGAAGAGGCCGCGGCGTCCCAAGTTGTACGCGCAAGTTGAAATCCCCAATGGCGAGCTAGTTTGATTGCAGGGCGCTTCGGCACAGCAGGGCGTATAAGTCCTCGTACACACCTGATCACACCCTTCGAAGGACCGAGTAGATATTGTGTACCGAATACAGAACATTAATTATGCACCATCATAGTCGTGGTCCGAAGCTTGGCACAACGTAAAATCTCTAGGGCAGAGTGTTGGGGTAGATGGCGCAGTCCCCGTGACTAAAATGCCAAGTTTCCGAAGGGTTTCTTCGTGATTCCGAATCAGGATTGGCGTCCACGCTACCCATACGTGTTCCACTTGTCATCATGGGTGCATTCCTCTCACTATAAGACCTGATTATTCACTTTTCCCCTATAGACGCGGATTATCAATCTTGTTCCTGCAGGATCTTCATTGCTCCGCAGATATACTGACAGATACGTAGCATAACTTGACGACGAGCCATCTACTCTGAGGGAAAGACCTTCGACTGAAGCACCCAACCACACCTAGGTGACACCCCTGGCGCGAGTAGCTTACGCTAAACCTCGACAAAGTCAAATCCCCGTCGTCTACCAGCGCCACCCTAACTAGTTGCAGGTGTTGATCTCCCCTGAATAACACGCTAAAAACAACACGCGGGAGCGTTGGCCACAGTAGTCGCCCGACTTTTGTCACGGAAAGAGACCGGAGAAGGAAGAACCCTGCGAGCGGAGAGGTCCATCTGATCGCTCAAGATTCACTTCCTACTATTTCCCATACTGACGAAGATCTACACAGAACAGTTGACATCATTGCATCCCGGTCCTGTATCTTCAGAATCGCATCTGATAAACCAGCGGCATCTGCTGTTGTGGTTGGAGCCTGTCCCACAGTAAATCGCACGTGTACTCGGTACAGTTACGCCCATGAAATACATTACATTAGTCCATCAGAAAACATGCAAGCGAAACTTTCATGGATCATTTCAAATCGCCCTGAAGATGCGTGGAACAAGAGTACAAGGGAATCGAACACCTTCCTAGCTTGTGCAATACCGTCCTGTGCTAAAAATCCAAGATGCGCATTCAATTCAATTGTCTTCTACGTCAATCCAGAACCCAAACGTCTGCATATCCGTATTCTCTGCACATTAACACTTTCCTCCCGACATATTTTCCCCTTTACATGCCGAGGCCGAGGGCACGGGCCCGGAGGGCAACAGAGCTGGCCACGCTGGGCGGGTTGGTGGCGCATGACAGGCCGAAAGACTGGAGCCAAGCAGCGTTGTCGAATTCAGCATAGTTCTTCTGGATCTTGCCCTCGCTGTTGATGATCATGTGGTTGATACCATTGACGGGGAAGCGAGTCGAGGTGATTCTCCATCTCCAGGTGATGGTGTTGCAGTCGTGCCAGATGTTGAGAGCGGTAACAGCCACCTCAGGTTGGAGAACACCCTGACCGTAGTCGAAAGCTTGCTTGCTAGGGAAGGTGACAGAGCCAAGCTACAATCCGTTAGTACAATACAAAATTGAGATACCAGATTTACTTACAGGGAAGCCAGCCATGAAGTTGATCGAGTCCGAAATGTCGCTGAAGTCGGATGCCAAAGTGGCGTCGGAGACGTTTTGTTGGTAACCCCGGCCCGGTGCTCCTTGAGTGCCGTTGTACGAGGTGAACTCGAGTAGGATCATGAAGTTTTCGACCAATGTGGTGGCCAAAGCATCGTCAACAACGCAAGACGAGGGGGTGTCCGACGAAGAACCGCTGCCAGGCTTCGTAACGGTGGCAGTCTCGGTCGTTGTGACTGTGGTGGTGGTAGCCGTAGCTGGGCCTTGAGTGATGGTGATCGTAGTGGCAGTGCCGGCCGCAGGGCATGAGCTGTAGGTAGGAATGACCTTCGTGGAGGTCTCGGTGATGGTGGTGGAAGTGGCAACGGGGCAAGTGCTGCCGCTCACAACGGTGGTGGTGCCAGTAACTGTGGTAGTCAAGGTCGAAGTACCGACTGTGCAGCTGGCGCCAGAGCCACCGGTGGGCTTGACCCAGATGGTCTTGGTGGTTGTGGTTGGTGCAACGGTGGTGGTCTTCACCTCGGTGTAGCCGAAGCACGAGCATGCGCTGGTGTAAGCGGCCTCGTTGCAAGCGCTGGCGTAGTTGGGAACCTCATTGGGGCAAAGGGCAACGGTGGTGCGCTTCCAGTTGTCCTTACCGCCGTGTCCAGTGACGGTCTCGGTGACGGTGACGATAGGGGTCACAGTGGTTGCCAGGAAGCTGGAGCAGTGAGAGGCTCTGAGCGCGCCGTCTCCCAAAGCAGCCTTGCCAGTCACAGCAGCCAAGCAGGCGTTGTTGGCGCAAGAACCACCATGCACAGGATTAGCCAGGACGCCGCTGGCCAAGGCAGCCAGCGGCAAGGCGACAGACAAATATTGCATAACTAAAGTAATTCGACGATTGTAACTGTTGAAAACGAGTGGAACAGGCCAAAGACCTTAGCAAAATGATAAAACGAGCTCAGAAAAGAGTGGATGATTGAAAAGTCAATCAAAGTCGTGAGATGTTGTAACGAGCTGGGAGAGAAAGAACAGATGGTGTGAGACTGGAGGGGACCGTCCGAAGTACTTATGGGATGCGAGACCAAACGTCTCGACTTCCGCCATGGTGGACCTGGACTCTATGACATTCCGGCGCTCAATAACCCCAGCCAGCCACGAGGGCGGCCTGAGACTTCGGCTGTAGCGTCAGGTTCAGAAGCTAATTTCACGAATGAGGCTCCCCAAGATCCTCGAACGCCGAAAAAAGGAGGTCATCTCAAGAAAACACTAGCCCCGGGCAAGGAATCGACAAATCCAGAATACCACGGATAGTGCAAGGCATGACGGCTAGAACCTTGTGGAGGTGACAGACCGAGATCCAATGATGGCTTGTGATGGGCAAATTGCTGCTGGACTTGGCCACTTCCAACGGGACAAGACCTCATCGGCCTTGATAGACCTTTGCCTGCGGGAGGAACGTGGCAGGATTTACCTTTTTTCCCATATCCCTGCATGAGGATGACACCAAGAGTCACTTTGATGCGAATTCAACTCATCAAAGCTTGATTATGGCGATGGTACATCCAAGGGCGACCTACCGGTGACCGACACTCATTCTGCGCCTCTGCAATTCCCCTCTTCCAGGCTAGGGGTACCGACAAGGGTGGAGATATTTCAGGAGACGTTTGTCTGTAGACTCGAGGCGTACCTGGCGGATAGACTGTCGGCTCGGATGGCTCAAACAATAACGGAGCCAGTCCCGATTGGGAAATGTATAGGCCAATCAGTAGTAGAACTTGGCCGTTTTACGGCTGGGAGCCATTGACACCCTATGCATGTTCCGGATCCACACCTTTGTTGCAATTCACCCTATTCGGCAGTCCAGTCTTACGCTTTTTGTTTTCAGCTTGGGCGCGTCCGTTGTTGTGATGCCGGTCAACGGGCGCGCTCATGCAACGTGTACCGAGCAGAGCTTTCTGGATCCCAGCCCAGCAACAGGCTGGATCGACATCACCAACGCTTCCACGTTTCCTGGGTTTAACTCACCACAGCCTCATGGCATGCGGGACATCTTTCTTACCTTACCAAGTCAACTCACGTATCCAGTGCTGACCGTGTTGGGGCACTGTTTAATCACCGTCTTTCTCGCCTTATTGTCTTTGTCACATTCCTTCCATTTTCAACCTGCATAGGGTTGCTATGAGGAGTGAGCAGAACTGGGGAATGGCTCCGTAGGGCAGCTGCCCGTATGGTCAGGGGTGGGGGAAATTAGGTGGTGGTTGACTGGAGGGTTCCAAGCAGGGGTTGCAGTGCGTTTCGTGTGGTACCCTGAAAAGGCCTGACGAGGACGAGGACGGGTTCCTTGGTTGCCCACCCAAAACTCGTGTGTTTCAAGGCATCCTGTTCTGGTGCAAATTTACCATGCAGGCTCTGACGCCAAAGTGGCTGTTGTGAGTTCACATTCATCTTGTTTGTGTAGATTTGATGGGTGACACTCCCGTTGGCTTCGGGTATCAACGTTCGTGTTCTGCGATTGATGGAGAAGAAAAGGGGACGGTTTGAGTTTTACTGTAGGTTTAGCGTTGACATTCAAGCAGCGGCTAGAACGCCAGGGCTTAGCACTAGAATGGTATATTGGCCAATCATACTGTATAGTGACCTATTAGTCAGATCCATCGAGAAACATTTTGCTTCGTCCTAATTTCCACCGCGATGGCCTTTCTCCAACCAAACTCTTGGAATCAAACAGTTTTTTTTATCTCCCTACCCAGACGAGTAACTACATTCTTTGCTCAGCACGGCTTGATTCGATCCTTGTCCGCTCGTACGAGCATAACGGGAGATACCATACTAGTACGAGGTACTCGGTACAGTACTGAGTACTGAGAACAGTGATCAGCCTTCCAATCACGGCCACTCAATCTTCTATTTTCGATATGAAAGTTTGCCCTCCATCACACATCAGATGGCAATCCTCGGAGACGACGAGCATACACCTAACGGTGCGCACGCGGAGGTTTCCGACAATGAGCCGGTAGCTGTGGCTCCCGAGGTGCCAGCGATGCTCCATGGTAGGTCAAATATAGATTACCCGTCTCACTCCTGTTATTTCATGTTCCCTTTCCAACCTCGAGTGATGCAGTGCATGATCTGCCCCAGCTTCATCAAAAGCCGTCAGCAACCACACTCCTTCGCGCCTTGGATCTTCTCGTTGCAGAGCCGTCGAGCTTTTCGCCTTTAGCAAACACCAGGCGTCCCAAAGTAAGCGAGCAGGGGGTTTCAAGATACCTTACCTCGATTGTCTCCTCAGGCCTGAATTGGATTGGGGACGAAGACCAAAAGGATGCAATATGGGGCGCTGCAAGTGCCCGCCTCAGCGAACGCTCGGGCAGAAGCGCAATGCCTGCCATGACGCGCTCGTTCGAGATTTGTACCGACCTCACGGTTAATTTGCATGAGCCTACCTTGACAGAAGACAATCTTGGGCTCAAGACCTGGACCTCATCGGTCTTGCTGTCACGCCGGCTCCAAGATTGTCGTAGATATCTTCCAACCGAGCCCACTCGAGTGTTGGAGCTAGGTGCCGGCACTGGTTTGGTCGGGATTTCGGCCGCATGCATATGGAAAACTCATGTGCTGCTAACTGACCTGCCGCAGATCCTACCAAATCTTCGAGGAAATCTTGAGCAAAACCAGGAATTGATCACAAGGAGTGGTGGGAGCACTGAGTCACGGGCACTTGACTGGGTTGATGAGACGGACACGCCAAAACGTGACGAAGACAAGTTCATGGTTATTGTGGCAGCCGATTCTATCTATTCTCCCGAACACCCTAAGATGCTTGTGAATGCTGTCACTCGCTGGATCTGCCGTTCGCCAGAGGCCAGATTCATCATTGAACTTCCGTTACGTGATGGTTATGACGAGGAGAGACAAAATTTGCGCAGTATATTGCAACAGAACAAGTTTGACTTGGTACTCGAAGGCACAGAGGTCGGTTTTGACGATTGGTACCAACAAGATGGCAGCCCATCCGAGGTTACATGTTGGTGGAGTATATGGAGGCCCAATACCCAGGTCTGAGCGGACCTGCCCTAAGGCACATCTCAAGCACTCGGGCTGCTTCTCTCCTAGCTGCTTCGAAACATTTTGGCTGCCTCTACGGCATAATCTGAACGGCGTCCCAATAGCCCCAACCCAACTGACCTGGTGATCGCACTCTGTATGGAGGTTTTGATCGTTTGTCCAAGGTTGGATAATCGATGACCTCTCATAATCTTGAATTCCTCAAAGCGCCATGACTGGAGCTGTAGATGCCATTGCATTATGCTGTTGGAATGCTTGCGCATGTAGAACTCTTGAAACCCCTGAAACACCGACCTTTTCCTTGAAGGTTTCAAATATCATCTTGTCTCGTTATGTCATGATTGGGTCTTGATTCTTCGTTCGGAAGGGTCGTATCTGTCCAACTCTTGTCAGTCCTGCATCTCTCTTCGATTCTTCTTCCTCGTCGCCACCCAACAGCAGAAAAATGGTATCAACATACTGTAGCAACTTTTCAATCAGATCGACGTGTGTCATCAGCATGCGCCGACAACAGTATCGTTTCGCGCCAACTTGATCCATGGCTTCGCTACAACGCGAAGGACCAAAATGTTAGAATTCGTTTCCGGATATGAAGCCAAACCGCGTAGATACTAACCCATCAGGCATGCCACCCTCGAGAAGCTTCATATATCGTTCCCAAATATCAGCGATCACCTGAAAGAAGCGGAAGGAGTCAGTTGTTGTATTCCACGTTTCAACTTTAGTGGCTCTGCGCAATACCTTTCCGCAGGAGAAACATCGTATTGGGATAATCATTTTGACCTTTGACAGTACAACAAGCGCACAATATCGTAAGGGAATCAGTAACGACTGGCTCGCTATGTTGGTTGTGTTTGCGAAGGATGGCGGGAGACTCACCTGCGAAAAGTCGCAGAAATTCTTCTCCGCAATTTCTCTTCACGTGACATGTCCGGAAAACCTTCCACGAAATTGGTGCGGAGAAAAAAAGTTTCTGATTTCGCTTCATATCCTGTACAGCAATTGGAAGCGTGCACCGATCCTTTGCTTGGTCCGCCAAAGTCTGTCTCAAGATGTCACAGCCTACAAAGCGAGACGCCGACACTGCCTTCGAAGGCAATCATATTGGCGACTCGCAGAAACCGAAGCGCCAAAGACGAAGAAGGAGCGGGAAAGTCGAGGTCACAGACACACCGTCACTATTGAATGCGACGGCTTCACCTGCGGCGCTGAAAACGACACCCTCTAATGACTCTGAAAATCCCACTTCCAAGATCAATGATGAAATCACTCCAGAGACTGCTTCTAGTGGCAGCAAACCGAAGAAGCAGACACCCACAAAGACTCCGACCAAGGGACCTCCCTCCAAGCACAACTCAGAAGGATCGTCACAGAAGGTGAAGGCAGTTGAAGCTGCACTTAACAAGAGAAGAGACGGAAAACCAAAGGCTCTGGTCAATACAAATGAGCACAAGAAGGAGCCCAAACCACTGGAATCAGAACCTGGCCATATACAGTCACATCTGACAAGCACCGACGGTAAACAGTCCGAAAAGTCCGAGTCAAAATCGAAAGTGTTGGTCAACGAACTAACTACTGACGGGAAAGCCAAGTCTAAGAGGCCAAGGAAACGAAAGGTCGCTTTACTGAAGGACAGAGAAACAAGCATTGAGAATCAAAAGGTGGAACAACTTGCCGGAGAAGACAGATCAGACCAGATCGTCAAGAATAAGCAGAAAAGACAATTGACAAAGCAAAAGTCCAAAGTGGTCGCGCAATCAAAGACGCAAAAGTCGAACCTGAAAAGCAGCGGCTTCAGATTATCTTCCGGCAATGGCGGCATGTTTATCGACCAAGATCCAATTTTAACCGCTGATGACCAGTATCTGATCCTGCCAACACACTCTGAAATTCGAGTGTATTCGACCAAGACATCCTTGCTGGTTAGAAGCTTCCAAGTTGACAACAGATCCGATATCACCAGCTGCTCTCTATCGAAGGTTGATCCGAAGAAGTTGTACGTCTCCACTTCGAAAGGGTTGGTGTCTTTGTGGGATTGGACGACAGCCGCCGCAATAGGAAAGTACGATACGGGGAATGGACTGCGGCAAGTACTTCCACTTTCTCAACAAGAAGAGAAGGAGACGATTCTTGTCTTGAAAGACGATGTGCAAGGCCCTAAGCGCCTTGCCGCTTACTCCGTCAACACCTTTCATGGCACCTTCACAGAATCCAAAACTGTGCTGCAGAGGACCAACCTATCACCATGCATCAGATCTTGCGCAGATGGAAACGTGCTATTGGCATGTGTGGAGGACCAACTCTTAATCGGTCATTGTCAAGCTACAACAGAAGGTCATTCGGATCTCAGCTACACGTGGAGGGAAATCACCTTGCCAGGATTCATAACGAGCTTTGACGCTCAGGTCAACGAAGGCAAATCTAAGACGTCACGAAAAGTTCCCTTCCTCGATGTTGTGGTTGGTCTCAACGATGGGGTCATTATGCTCTATGAGGATATACTCTTCAAACTGATTGGAAAAGAGAAAAAGAACAAAGCTTCGACAGATGACATTGTTGGCCGCAGACTCCATTGGCATCGAACGGCCGTCAACACTGTGAAATGGTCTCGAGATCGAAACTATATTGTCTCTGGTGGCAATGAGACGGTCCTCGTTATCTGGCAACTGGACTCGAACCAGAGGCAGTACTTGCCTCATCTTTCAACACCAATCTTGAATCTCAGCGTCTCAGCCGTAGGGTCTTCCTATGCTCTACGCCTTGGTGACAATTCTGTGATGATTCTATCCACGGCCGACCTGCTACCATCAACGAATGTATGCGGCTTGGCTTTGGGGTCAACTCAGAAGAACTCGAGCCTAATTGTCCTTCACCCAAATATTCAAGGTCGACTATTGGCAGCAGTGCCTTCTGATGCGGCTGCAACAGGTCCATTTCATGGGCGATATGCTACACTGCTACAAGTCTACGATGTCGAAACAAACGTTCAGGCCGGTCGTCAAGCGCTAACTCGAAACATGGTCACCGCGTCCAATGCTGCGCCGACTGGACAGCCAGTGAAGGAACCCACTGTCACGCATATCACCATCAGCCACGATGGCAGATGGTTGGCCTCAGTGGATGAATGGCAACCCAATGCACAAGATCTGGACAGTATGTACATCCGTGCCGATAGACCGGATCTTCGGCACCAATCGACCGAAACTAGTCTGAGACTATGGTTGTGGAATGAAGAGAACAACAACTTCGAACAGGTGACCAGGGTCGATGAGCCTCATACAGCGGGCACAAACTCTGTTCTCGGTATGTCGTTCGACCCCACGAAAGTAGAACTGGCCACGATTGGCAGCGATGCAACCGTTCGCATCTGGTCGCCCAAGGCGCGTCACCGGAATGGAGTTTCGGTCAGGAACAAGGCCAACGAGCAGCTTTACACGTGGAGCTGTTCAAGGACGATCCGATGCGATCATGACACGCCCCTCGGGCCCGAAGGCATCGAAACAAGAGCAACATCGGCAGCCCTTGCCTATTCGGACGACGGCTCAGTAGTGGCCGCTGCTTGGTTCTGGCCTGAGACCCGGTCCAAGTTGTCGCTGGAACCTCCTGGAGCCACGGTCAAACATTCTCGAACTCGCTTCGTGCATCTCATCGATCCAAGCACAGGCAGAATCGCTTTCTCCGAGCCCTCTCTTCTATCTAGGACTAGCAGTGCAGCAAAACTCCTTTTTCATTCGCGCTATCTCATATGTCTCTCACAGACTCTTACGATTCTAGACACGATTACGAATCGATTGGTCTCGTCGCCCCTCCAGCTTGACGAACAATACGTTCCACCAAGAAGCTGGAGCCCGTTTTACCTTGCGAAGAATAAATTCGACGGCACGATTGCACTGTGTATTTCGCGCTCTGAAAAGCCGAGGGGGACCAAATTAGTGCTGTTAGGTTTGTCCGGTGACAGCTCAGGTGGCCCAGGTGTGCAAGTGAAGGTTTTGTATGAAAGTTCTTTCACGGCAATGGTCAAGGGACTGCTTGCCCTGACCACGGGACCGGGATACTTGGTTATTGATGAGAGAAATCAGTACCGATTTGTTCGGCCAAGTACCGGGGTATTCACAAAGTCAGTTGGTGGAGGCAAGGAAACCGAGCAAGTCACCAGGAGTCTGGACAGTATTTTCGGTCGCCAGGGTCTATTGGGACCATCAGCCTCTGCCATGCATGGGGAACTGCCGGCTCTGCCTCCCAGCACTGCAGATGAGCATGTTGGCGCCAGGGGCGGGCTTGATGCAGTGCTGAGGTTCCCTTCATCGGCACAAGTACCTACGCCGACAGAGTTGTTTCAGAGAGTTGTGGGCGTCTTGGCCCAAGGAGGGGAGACCGAGGTGGAATAAAGGTCGCGCATGCGAGTCACCCTGGGCAAGATGCATAGATGAGGTGGAGGACGGAGATGCGATCCACGTATCCGTACGATGTATCTGATCCGGCCCGAACTGATAGTTTCCCAACGAAAGAATGATGGAAAGATGTCGTCTAGTTAAAAGTGAACAAGGAAAAGCTAGGTAGCTCACTACACAACACTACGCTATGCCGGGGCGATACAAGTGGAAACCAAGTCCTCTTGAGCCTGATGTAGTGGATATACGGTACATATACTATATTTCATGTACTAGTCAGTCATGTCATAGACCTCTTTCTGCTCAGTACATACAGTACCTACCTAGGTACGTCACTTTCGTCACCCTAGTGCCCCGGCGGCCTTCGCAAGGTACAAGCCAATTCAGGCGTGCGTGCGGCAAATGCGGCCGCGGTGGTGGTGCTGGTAGCCAGCCTGCCAGCTAATCGACAAATCCAGTTGCCCATTACCCATTAACCATCCAGAAATCCCCCATCTGATTGCATATCCGTCTATCTATCCAAACCACACTGTGGACCTTCTCACGAAGTGCTAGTGTTCCGAGATCGAGCCGGGGAGAGGGGCCGTGGGGGCTGGATTTCAAAATCGTCTCTTTCCCCCCTCCTGTACGATGCGCTCGGGAAAGGGCCGGACGAAAGGCCGATGTACAGAGTGCAGCGAGCAGGGATCTGGTGCGGTTTTAGGACGCCCAGATAATGGTTACAATGTTACAGGATCGGGAACCAGGATCGACGAGGAGGGACGTACTCGTAGCGGGGTTGGTTAGTTGGTATTGGTATGCCGTTGACTTGGACATGCGCATGTCTAAGCAGGGCCGCGTGGACTAGGACGGAAAGGAGGAAAAGGAGCAAAGGTAGTGGGTGGATGAGGAAGAGGAGGAGGAACTGCCGCCGTTCTCTGTTGGTCGACCACAGCAATAGTCGCAATCTGGCCGAGTGCGGGGAAAAGGATGAACAATTGAGGATCTGGTGTTGATGAGCGTTGTCCAGCTTATCGAGCATAATATGGTGCAAGGGTACGTACGAGACTGGATTGGAGTCCACACTCAAGTCAATCGTCAGTTAATCAGTCAGCCCCCGCTCATCGCCAGTATCTCGCGTCCGTGACGCCGAAGTGCTCGAGAGGGGCAAAGTGAGGGCACAGACGGGGTTTTTTTTTTCTGGCCATGCATGGGTGGGTGGATGGCGGGTTGGTGGGTGATAGTAAAACGGGATTACTATAATAACATCACCTCCTCTTTCTTCCCTCGAACAGTGTGACATTCACCTTATTTAACCAGCGTAGCGTTGTCACTGTTGTGGGTTGTTTACTTCTTGCTCCCAAAAACTTGCTTATATCGCGCCCTCTCCATCCAGTTCGAGACCACAGCGATAAGATATTACCCACTCTTCACCCACCGCGAAAACAATCAACGACAAAGATGGCCGTCAACGCTACCGTCCTGTACCCCGCCGAGGAGGGCGCCACCTTTGACATGAACTACTACCTGAAGACGCACATGCCGCTGGTCAGCGAGAAATGGGGCAAGTACGGCCTGCAGGGGTGGAAGGTGATCCAATTCCAAGCCGCGCCGGACGGGACCAAGCCCTACAGCGTCTCGGCCCTGTTGACCTGGGAGACGGCCGACGGGCTCAAGAAGGCGCTCAGCAGCGAGGAGGCCCAGACCGTGTTTGGCGACGTGCCCAACTTCAGCAACAAGTCCCCGCTCTTCATCGCGGGTGACATTGTTGGTTCTTCGTGAGTTGCCGCTGCTGCTCTGTATGTGTGGGAGGACGAGAACAACCCTAAAAGAGGTATATATACACGACGTCAAAGGTCCCTCCCCACAAGATTTGTTTCCGTTGCTAACAAGACGGTCTAGGACAGGGAAGAGTCGGTTGTGATGGACGAGCTCGGACAGAGATAGAACGCTGGTCGCAGAGACAATGCAGATATTCCTTGAGCCTCACCAAAGAAGACTTGACCTGACTTTCGTGTCCGTCCGGCTCGTCAATGACTCAATCTCTTGACACGTGGACGGACCTCCTCATGTGCATGTGGAATTGCGTCTTACCGTCTTATCTCGCACATGAGTCTCTCGTCGCGAAAGGAGAATGGCCCACCATCTGTCGCGTGTTTCGCCTTGTTTGTCCTACGGCACGAATAGCCCATGGTGTTCCAAGTCCTCCTACTATAGGGATGATGTTTTTTGCTAGACTCGTCCACATTAATTGTATCTCTTCTTGCACCGTCTCACCGCGGTTATGTGATATTGAATATTTTGACGCCGCCTTCATACATAGTTCACAGGCAATCCAGCTCTTAGCCTAGCAGAGGAGAACCCCTCATCGACCAGGCCCTTGCTTATACCAGGTCGCTCGTGGGGACAGGATCCTTTGATCCCTTCTGCTCTGCTCTGCTGGCTAATAATGTTTGCGGAGAGACAAAGCGGGACAGGGACAACGGAGACCATGCGGCAGGGTATCTACTCGTAGAGGCTAGGCTTCGAGCACACCAAAGGGAGTGAGTGGCTTCAGGCGGCGCAGCGTGTGGGAACTCGCAGGATCTGGGTGACTTGTAAAAGTGTTGTGCGAATAGCGAATAGTGGATAGTGACACACGTCAAACGTTGGGCTGCGAGCTGCAGGGGAATTCTTTACATCAGTCAGCAGGACCTGTCTGCGCAGTGTTGGACGGATGACATGACATGACAAGCACGTGGCGATTTGACGTGTCCAGTGAGGAAACTTGTACTCGTACGAGGTACCGGTAGCGCGATGTCTGAATATCAGCCTCAAGATAGGAACTACGACAACAGGTATTTGATGCCGTGCGACTCTAAGAATGCTCAAGAGGGGCAGCGCGGGGCTCACAGCTTCCCGGGGCACGGATCTGGACCATTACCCCCAATTTCTGCACCACTCCTACTCCTAATTAGAAGATCCTAGTTCTCAGCCTTGTCCTTATTCCTTAGTACATTAGGCTACCTTCGCAGAAGAGCACACCCATCATGTGGACAAGTGTTTGGCCTTCCCGAGCATAGGCCAAATCGGACATTGAGTCGTGGTGGTTTCGATCGAAAGATTCGGGGGCTTGATAATGCATTCTGCCTTGCGACGGTGAATCTGCATCCACGGTTGTGGCAGGACTTCGAGCCTTTCGAATGGTGTAGTGGTAGCTCCGGTTTTCCTGAAAGCATGCAGCACGCCCTCCATACATCTGTCTCATTTCCAGGCTGATGGTTTGGAGTCTATTAATCTAACCAGGAGCACCTCACCCGCATCTTTGTTGTGTGCTAGCATAAGTCTGGAAGACCCGGCTCCAATAATGACGACGCGCAGCTTCCTCGATAGTGTGTATGTGGGCACTGGATTCATTTCACCGGAGAACATCTTCCGTTTGCGGATGCCGGTTCTGGAGACACCCCATTCTGCCCTGTCGCAAAGGCATCGTCGTTGACCTGGGGGCCTTCCTACACCATGGCTGGCATGGTCGATTATTCCTGGAGCAGCAATCGGGACTGACCACTGTTTATATCAATACGAGACAGCCTCAACTTGGGTGCGGTAGAATTGCGGCGAATATGACCTCGGGACGATGGCTATCGATGTCCGCGAATATACATTAGCCAGCCTTGCTCTCTCCTCTCTCCACACCTGTATGGCTTTTTGGCCGAACTCGCGGGGAAATCTCCCCATCCTGATCGCCCGAGGCACAGAATGTATTCTCTTGGGGGCAATATATTGTCAGACATCCAAGTATCGTCTCTGAGATTGCTTTTCATAACCAAGAGTGGACACTGGGCAATTTTTCACAATTCAACTACGTCGGACAAAAATGTTGGCTCTCCGATTCCACGGCAATAGAGACCTGCGCGTCGATGAAATCCCCAAACCCGAGCTGAAACCGGGATGGGTCTTGGTGAAAAATGCGTGGGCTGGAATTTGCGGATCGGGTACGACTTTGAACGAGACAGGTCTTTCCAGTAGGATTTATCGAGCTGATTAGAGGGGGTTTCTAGATTTGCATGAATATGTGATTGGTCCCGCGAACATGCCCGTCGAGCCTCACATTCTTACGGGCGAGACCATTCCGTCCGTCATCGGTTCGTTAAACGATTGAGGAATTTCTGGCGATCTGGGCTCACTCAAGCTGTAACAGGTCACGAGTTTTCCGGCACGATTGAAGCTGTGGGAGAAGGTGTCGACGATCTCTCACCAGGGCAGAAAGTGGCCGTCTTCCCGGTCCTCACCGACGGTACATGCTACTGGTGTCAACAGAATACATACGGCATGTGCGATAAATGGGGGTTCCTCGGGTACAGTGGCTGGGGTGGCGGGATGGCGCAGTATGTCTGTGTCCAGAGGAGGGAAATTCACGTTATACCCGACAGTATCCCGTTGGATGTCGCCGCGCTGGTTGAGCCCCTCGCTGTAGGCTGGCACGCCGTCAAGAAGAGCGCGGTGAAACCAGGCGATCTGTGTCTGGTGCTTGGAGCAGGTCGGTCATGAATTCTCTGGGGGCCACAACATTCGAGCAAACGTATCTGACATATCCAAGGTCCCATCGGATTAGCAGTGGTTCATTGTCTGCGTGCTCATGGAATCGAAACCATCGTGGTTTCCGAGCCCTCTCCAGCGAGAGCTGCGCAGGCGGCGGAAGCGGGCGCACAGCATGTCCTCAATCCCATCAAGGAAGATGTACCAGCTTTCTGCCAGACATTGGGAGACAAACGGGGCGTTCACGCCGTCTTTGATTGTGCTGGACTCCAGCAAGCTTTCGACGTCGGGCTTGCCAGCGCACGGGGAAAAGGCCAAATCCTGCAAGTCGCCATCTACGAAGGGCCACTGACCATCAAGACGCCAAATGTCATCACGCGGAAACAGATCAACCTCGTCGGCTCCAATATCTACACGCGCGAGGAATTCCAAGAGGTCATTGACGCCATTGCAAGTGGTGAGTTTCCCACACACACACACGTCTTCCTAAAGCTATTCTGGAACCTTGCTAAAAGCTGTGGGTAGGCCAGCTCAAGGAGCCCGAAAAAATGATCACCTCTAAAATCCCCTTGAGGGATGCTGTCTCCAAGGGATTCGAGGAGCTCTTGAAAAATAAAGACCGGCACATAAAGATTCTAATCGACCCGCATGCATAGAAAGGATATAGTGTCAGGATCAGCGTTGATTAGATATGAGAGACTTCTCTCGTCCGCCGCTACCAAATCTCCCGTCGTAGAAAAGAATTACGTTCTGTTCCAAGACACGTCGCTCCTCACTTCGGTAGTGAAGCTAGCTTTTCTCAGTACTACGAGTACGGAATAACGTCACTCCTGCCAATCAACTAACGTGATCGTAGCTCTAAATGTGGGTCTGAATCAGTAAGGACTATACAACGAGACAAGTACTCTGGGTTTTTTGAACATCTACCTGCTGGCACTTTATTACCAAGGGGTGTCAGATGCCTCATTATAGCTACGGGTCAATGAAATGGTATTCATTATCGAAACATCATCCCTCCGTCGACAACTATACTTGTCCCAGTGACGAAATCCGACGCCGGGCAGGCCAAAAATATAGCTGTCCCTCGGAGGTCTGAAGGATTGCCCCATCTCCCAGCCGGCGTGCGATTGACAATGTATTCCTCCATTTCGGGGAACTGATCCAACAGTGCTTGTGATAGGGGTGTTCTGAAGTATCCGGGACAAATACAGTTTACCTAAGGGGGTCATTGACGTTAGGTATCCGCCCCAGAGAGAGAGAGAGAGAGAGAGAGAGAGAGGACACTGTCATGTGTATGAACATGACACTATACTTGCCTGAATTCCGTGGCACGCCCACTCATTACTGAAAGCTTTGGTCATTTGTAAAACTCCTCCTTTGGTCGCCGCATATGCCGAGACGTTGGTCATTGCCACGTAAGACGTAAAAGAGCCAAAGTTGATAATCTTTCCCGGCCGACCGAGTTTAATTAAACGTTGTCCGAATTCTTGAGCGGCGACGTAGGCCCCTTTCAGGTTGACCGAGAAGATCTGTTGTTGGAAATGAGATGTGTGTTAGCCTTTGATGCTTCTCTCAGAAAGATACACGCGTGCGCTGCGCCTGGCCAGGGGGCTGGCTGGCTGGCTGGCACGACCACGACCATCACTAACCAGGTCAATCTTGTCGTCGGTCATGTCCTCAATGGGACCCCTCCGATTCAAGCCCGCACAGTTCAAAAGAATGTCCGGCACGACGTCCGCCTTCCACATGCGGTCAAAAGTCTCCCGGAGTTGCTTCGAGTCTCCGACATCGCACTCGAACCCTATAACTTTCCTGCCGAGTTTTCTCACGCCTTCTTCCAGCGTGGTCTGGCCGGGGTCGCGGGGCAGATGGATGGACACGATATCGGCCCCGGCCTCTGCAAGAGCGATGCAGATTTCCAACCCAAGGCCGCCGGTACCTGTGTCGAATACGGTTAGTATACATGGCCATCATGGCCTCAACTGGTCCAATTGAGGGGATTCCGAGCCCTCGCCTACCTCCAGTGGCAACCACTGTTTTACCTTCTAAAGAGAAGAGCTGTGACGTTGGAACGCGAGGAGTCTGGGTGGCCATGGTTTTTATTCGGGGCGATAAATATATTCCAACTATACAAGGGGACGAAACTTCGTTTGTCTTGTTTGAAGCTGCGGTTGTTACCTTTATTCAATCAGACACTTTCATTTACCCCGCATCATAACGGAGAAGCTTCACCGAAACTCGGGGATGGTCGAATTTCAGCCTCA